CCCCAAAACCCCAAAACCCCAAAACCCCACAATATTAATATCAAAGAAATTGATTGAGGTAAAATAAATATATGTTGAGGTTTATTAAGTTTTGAATTATCATTATGATATGTTTGTGCATAATCTTATGAGATTTCTCAGAAGGAATTGAGGAATTAGAAAACCTGGCTGTTGACTTTTGAGTTGACATCGGCAGACCACATGTAGTCCAAATGATTATAGTCGTCAACAGCAACTGTCTTTGTGTTATCTGGCAATGCAGCCTATAGAATTTTCAGATCTCCTGAAGCGACAAGGGCGTCATCACTTCCTGCTACTAGCAATATTTGAACATGAGCTAAAGTAGTTTTTAAACTTGCAAGATCATAATTTGGAGGGGTCTTTTGGCCATAGATCTGCATGTTTTGGTCAGCACCATAGTCATATTGAGCAAAGTTTCCACTTCTAAAGTTTTGGATCCAGTGCATTAAATCTTTAGTTGAAGTGCCACCGACATCATTTCTTGCCATCATTGGTAGAGTGCCTAGATTAATGTGATAAACTTTGTCGAAGCCAACCAAAGTTTAAATAAAATTCCAAACAGTCCTTGGGAAGAAATGTAAGAAAGGGGCAGCTACTGGGGCGATTGATGGGAGGTATAACAAGTCCCAGAAATATTCAAGGAGAAGGTCTGGAATCTCAAGTAAATCTAAAGTCTTTACAAGTGGACTTGGACTGTTGCTAACATGAGCTACTGGTGCAAAACCAATGAAGGCTTTATAGTATTGACTGAGGTCCTTAGTTAAACTATTGCCAAGGAAGAATTAGGTTGTTCCTTATGAGTGTCCGAAATAGACCACTTGACTTTGATTTGTTGTATTCAGAATGTAATTGAGATTGGCTGGAAGATCATATTTACCCATCTCATGGTATGAGAAATCCCAGTAAGCCTTATCATTAACAGTCAAGTTTACGTGCTCATTTGAATAAACTGTACCTCTGCTGTTTGTAGACCATACATCATATCCTTGGTCAACTAATTAAAGTGATAAATCGAGAGTCTCATTGTTGAAGAACCAAGATCCACCATCATCAAACAGTCCGTGCTACATTTAGATTGGTGTCTTAGAATCAGCATTTTCACCTTTTTTACATGGAACTCTGAAGGCAGTTAAAATGTAACCATCTTCAGTTTGGATTTTATGCTCTTCATAAACATATCCTCTGCTCTCGATCTACTCTCTGATTGTCATGTTGTATCCCACTGGATATGGGAATTTAGACGAGAATACATCTTCGACAATAGATTATCCGAGAATGTTTATTGAGTTATAGATTTTAGTTCTGTAATCTGGATGGAAAGTCCAGTATATAATGAAGTTTGTGAGCACTCCAATAATGCTCGAAACAAATCCAGCTTACATATTAAATTTAATTATAATAATTTAAGCAAATCTACAATAGGATCCATTCCATCACAATAATCATAATTGTGTTTCGGGGTTTTGGGGTTTTGGGG